TGTCTGGGTAACGTATCACTAGTATTCGACCTTCGTTTAGGGATTTTATCTAAAATTTTATTTATTTTTTAAGTTATCCGTGTTGAGATGCTGTCAAGTGTTTCTTGAGCAGTTATTCTTTTTGTAATTATACAAAACACGTTCTTCTCAAGCAAGCTTCTATGCTAATATGAGTCTCCAACTCTCAACATTTTAAACTCCCCATAACATTCTTGTTTATCATTAATAAAAACTCATCTTTTAAAAAAAAAAATAAATTTTTTTAAAATTTTTTTAAAAAATAATTTAAGAATTTTAAGCAAGATTTACACAAACAGTAGAAATCACGATTTCACAAACAGTAAACACTTAATCATTAACATGGCTTTAACATAGAAATCATGGTTATTTATTTACATGGAAATGAACAGAAAGCTCCAACCATCATCTTCATCCGCGAGCGGGTGCATAACCAATGATAGCTCCAAATACCTTGACAGGTTTCTTCACTTTAATCATGTACTCTCCTCCTGGTTCACCGTAAAACTTGATCTTATCACTCACGTCAAGCTTATTGCTCCTCACAAATTCAACCCAACCTCTGGAAACAACAGGCTTGAGATATTTTCCCTTTCGGATGGAGCATTGAAGAGGCCACACTTTCCCACTTTCATCTCTAGCCCGAAAGTTCACTGCATGGCCACCTTGGAAGCACGGAAAGGATTTCAGATGCTTACAGGGAATTGACAATCTCTTCTCTACGTCGGTCTTAGTAAGAACTTTGGAGAAGATAATCGCCATTGATACTACTGTTTTCTTCTCTGCAAATGAATCTGGTTTTATAAGTGCCATGGGAAATCATTCTGGGCTCAAAATCAAAAGGAGACAGAATTTTGTGCGTTGTCCTTAATATTTCCTGCGCCCAAGCATCTGAATTTGTCTCAATTCAGGGAGAATATTTTATTCATATGAATGAACAAACTTTTCGTATAGCTAATGTCCAAAACCCATTTTTAACACATCGGAATCATTAAAAGATTGGTCAAAACCATTTTGTCGTTTGATCATCATATGAATTTGTTTGAAGCTTTTGTATTTTACCCAGGAAGAAGGAAAGCCCAAAACGCACATCTTATCGTGAAAGGGATTGGTAGTAAGCATCCCAAAGTTATTAATGGAACTATACATAAAGAAAATATATAGCAATTCTGTTGTTAAATTAAAACTAGTGTAACTACTTGAAGATAAGACAGGCTTGGGAATATTAGCCTTCCAAATTCTTTGCGACCGGCCGGCTTTCTAAACGGATAATAAGTAGTTGACGAAAGCCAGCTTAAGATTAAAAACTATTATCATAAATTTATGGCATAACGATATAATAAAATAAAATAAACCATCTAAAATTCTTACTCTTTTATTTAAAAGAGTCCATGAATGGTGGGAACTTTGAACGGAAAAATATAATTAATTCAATGTAATGGTATCGATGTTTGTCATATCATAGCACGTGATAGTTCCAAAATCAAGTTATTATTTTAAACCATATAAAGAGTTAAGGGTTTAATTATTTTTAAATAAAAAATAGAAATTTAATTATATTTCAACGACTTACTTTATATTTTTAAAATTAAGAATTTTTTATCCTTTGACGCGCCTTGGCAACTCTCAGTTAGCATAAAAGGTTGGTCAATGGATTAGAATTTACTTTGTAATAAAAGCTGTGATTAATTTGGATGCTCTGGACATTATTAGAAAAAAGGCTTTAATGCTAATAGCCATCCCATTACTCCAATGGCAGAATGAAAATTACCTTTTTTTTTTGGCATGCTTAGTGCTTGGGGGTTTTTACTACCAAAGATTCTCAAATGGAAGAGCTTGTTAAGCTATGTAGTACCAGATAGTAAGCAAAATTATTTAGATTTTAATTTAAATTTATCTTGAATTTATAATAAAAACATCTATAATTAATTTTTTACGGGGATCCTTATTTGTAAGTAAACACTAATTAAGCTTCTTAACACGTACACCAAACCACACTTCAAGTTCACCTTCATGAGAAGCATGCAAACCACACTTCAAAGTACACCAAACCAAACGTTGAAATTTATATTATAAAAAACATTTAAATTTATTAAACTTACCTTATATATGATGCATGATATGATAGTATGTAATTTTGGAAATTAATACCATATTTTCAGTAAGTTACTTATATGTTATATTATTTTTTTCAAGATTTTAATTAATATTTTTTTCACATATACATCAAATATTATAATATTATGTTTCCGGGAGTTTAATACTTTGCATTTGGTAATTACATTTCATTAAATTCGTGAAGTGGTAAGACAATAAAGTTCGTCCTTTTACTATTGAAGCTCTCTCTCTCTCATGACATTGCGACGTTAATCATATCTTCGCCCAAGCAATTGACCTCCATCAACAGACAACAATGGAAGAGGTACTCGTTCAATTAGCAAAGACTCTAGTAGTTTTCAACAGTCTTCCTTTTGTGTTTAACTTACAGTTTGGCGTTGTGTTATCTTCTTCCATGATGTGACACAAACAATGATCCCCTTTAATCTGATTGACTCATTGATCATTGCAAATTACAAAGCACCTAAATGCAGCTTCAAAGCATGGGGTCAGGGGCTGTCTCCCTGATGTGCCCCACGTGTGGCCGGACGTGACTGTCACCCCTATTGGTTAACCAGTCGACTTCACGTACCTCCTAGGCTTAACCTTCAAACAACAATCTGCTCATTTCCATATCTTCCCTCCTTTACCTGTCTACCTCTCTCTCTGCGTAATCTTTTGTAGTAAAAGCAAAGAAATCTCAAACCAAACTCGTTATCAAATATTCCCACTCCCTCTTCTCCATAGTCCCATACGCAAAAACTCTTTCATTCTCTAGCTACCATGGAAACCCAAGTTCCTATTCCGTCTCCAAAGCCACCCAAGGACTATCGCTCCAACGTTGACACTTCGAGGCCTTTTCGCTCTGTCAAAGAAGCCGTCGCAGTCTTTGGTGAGCGGCTTCTCGTTGGGGAGATATACACTCCGAAGTCGTACACTTACAGCCGCCCTCCTAGCCAAGAAATCACCTGGTTTTCACCGAGTCCCCAAAGCCGTAAAGAACATGATCACGAGGAGAGTAACCATCAAGGAGTACTGGACACCTTGAAGAAGCTCGAGGCTGAGCTGCAGGAAACAAAGGCGGAGTTGAAGTTGCTGAAGGAGAGAGAATCCGAGACAGAAATAGCGTTGGCTTCGCTTAACGCCGAACTTCACAAGAACATGTCTAAGTTGGCTCAAGCTGAGGCGGCGGCGGCTAAAAGTGCAGCGACGTCGACGTCAATGCCAAGAACCGTGAGTTTCGATATGGGAAACGGGGAAGACATAGCGAGAGAGGAGGAGCGGAGGAGGGAGTTAAAGAAAAGAATGGAGAACAACCCAACGTTGTCTCAGATATTGAGTTTCGGCGAGAAGGAAGGATACTTCGGGGGGAAAAGGGAGAGAAAGACGATGAAGAAGAAGCCCATCGTCCCTCTCGTGGGAGATTGGCTTTTCAAGAAAAAGGGGTCGCCTACTACCCTTCACAACCCTCTCTTTTCATCTCCTCAAGTGTACTTTAATTAAAAGCAAAAGGGTTCGATCTTTTCACAAAGCGTTTGTTTTATTTGGTTTAATTTTCTCTCATATTTCGCTTTTATGGAAGGTTTGTTCGTATTTGTCCAGTGTAACTAAACAAATTCATGTTTCATGTTAAAAAATAATGGGCTTTTCTATTTCTTGGGAAACCAGGCAATCCGCCTATGATCTACCAGCATTACGTTTTATCACTACTTGAAAAATTTTTCCGCTAAATTTTGACGAAATAGATATTGATACATTATCGATAGAATTTTGAGGAAATGTCATATATAATGTCATCAATAAATCAATTATCAAACCAGTGAAATGTTTATATACAAGTATAAACTTTTTTAAAGCATAAAATAATATTTTTTTGGTTGCGAGGTGAAAATTGAAAGGATAACTCCAATTTATACACATTCATAAAAAAAAAATCTTCTATTCCAAATTTATTCGTCTTCATGAAAATTTTATTTTCTTGGATACTTGATAGTGAAAAGTAGACAAAAAAAATAACGTAAAGATAAATTTCATTAAGTTCACATATAATAATAAAAAAAAAGATGAATTATACTGTGAATTAGGCTTTATCAAAGCATATCACCAAAAGGAAATAAGAGAATGTTATTTTTCTTTTAAAAAAATTCCGAGGTTGAATAAGGATCATCTTGACATAAACTATTTGAATCCAAGGCAAAACTCAAGATTCAACCAAATTGATTATTTAAGTCATATAGCTTTGACTCATATTCAAAATTTGATTATTTTTAATTTTTTTAAAAGAATAAGGTCTTGTTTTCAATTTTTAAAGTAAATTTAACTTACTTTTTTGTAATTTTAAATTGTTTTTTACATATCGTAAGGCATTTTTTTTAGTTAATTTTTATAAATAAAATTTTTTGAGTGAGTTATATGGTTAAATTTTTAATAAAATTATTAAAATATTTTTAAATTTGAGTATAAATTAATAAATTAATTTTCAAATTAATGATATTTTGATAATATTTTTGATTAAATAAAATTATTGATTTATAACATTTTTTCGAAACAAAATTTATTATTAAAAGATTAATTAAAAAAAAGGCCAAAAAAGCGGAAGAAGAAAACTTTAATTTGGGGAAGCTAACTGGATGCTTAGCTAAGGGATTTTGTCAGCTTGCGCTTGGAGGACCGAAAAGCTTCAAATATCCCCCACCGCACAATTACCGCAAACATAAATTCATTCCCAGATTCCAGCCAAACATCTTCTGAAACTCGTTCAAACTAGAAATCCTCCAGGAAAATTTTTGAAGTTTACAAACGAAAAGAGTGATTAATCGCAAATTTCTTTTGATTTGTTATCATCTTTATCCGTCCAAAGCAAATATTTTTTGATTGATTGGGAGATGCAAGCCGTGGTTGTTAGTCCAACATATTGCTGCAGGGCCCATCAAACCCTAGAACCTTCCTGCTCTCGTCCCACGACTACCAAGGTTTGTTCTCTCGGCTATATTTTTCTGTTTTATTTTTTCTGAATATTTGATTCCAAGTTTCGAGATTCTGATGATAATTTCCGATATGCCCAGCCCTCGAGCTTCTTTGGCACCAGAGTTTCGCTCGCGAAGGGGCGTAATCCGGCGCGGCGCAGCTCATGGCGTTGTGTGCGGATTCGATCACCTGGTCTCACGCGGAGGACAGGTCAGTTTCTTTCCTTTCCGATTTGTTTGTTCTAATTTTAGATTAATTTTGAAGCCTGTTACCTCTATTTAGTTAGGGAAAAATCATTCCTTACAGCTTGAATGTTGAAATGTTCCCTCTCTTCCCCTAAATAGCATAGTTGGAGCTGGCTCTTTTTCCTTTATTATTTTTCAATATTTTATTTTATCTGTAGATTGCTATTGCTTTATTTATTTATTTATTTATTTTTCTTTTACATTCCTGGAAATGATTATGTTAAAAACTAGAGTCGACAATTAGATGTTTAGTTTATCTGCATATGCAGTATGTGAACAGTTTTTATCATGTCCATCACATGGTTTATGAATATTTTTTTAAATAATTAAATGCCTATTTGATTTAGATAGTCATTGATGCAAATATCTTCTTCCTCTGTTTCCCTTTGAATTGTTGGATCTTTTAAAGTGTTCTGAATATATTGAAGTTTCTTTTGTGGGTTCTTGCAGTTGTCAAGGCTGTAGCCACTCCTGATTCAGCCTTGGAATTGCCGCTAACAGCAGAGAATGTCGAAAGTGTGTTGGACGAAGTTCGACCATATCTCATTGCTGATGGAGGGAATGTGGCATTGCATGAGATTGATGGCAATATTGTAAGGTTGAAGCTACAAGGAGCGTGTGGCTCATGTCCGAGTTCTGTTATGACAATGAAGATGGGTATTGAGAAACGTTTAATGGAAAAGATACCTGAAATTGTTGCAGTGGAACCGATAACTGATGAAGAAACTGGCCTTGAGCTGAATGAAGAAAATATTGAGAAGGTAATTACATCACAGCCTTATTAGCTCTAAATACTTATACTTTCCTTTCATCTCTACCATATAAGGAAACCTGCTTCTTGCTTTACGTTTTATACTTTTACTCAGAAAGAATGATTGACAGAGTAAGTCAATATGGTGAAAGCATAAGTGATCTGTTGATTTTTGAAAGACCAACTAAATCAATGGAACCAACAGGCTGGGAAAATGAATCTAGAGGATTTGAGGATGCAGACTGGATTTAAGCTCTGTAGTTCAAGACCTGATACAATTCTTTGATTGTTTTTTTCCCCTTTTTTTAGTTGAGGGATAATAACTAAGGGTTTGGTATTGAAAAAGAGTACTAATGAAGAAACCTAAATGAAAATTTTCACTGATTCTCAAATCATGTGAACAAGTTTCTAAACCATCCATAAGGTTTTGGAGTTGTAAGGGAAAGAGTACCAATGGAGGAAACTAAGTGAAACTTTCCACTAATAATGTCATCAGTGGCAAACATCTTTTCAATTCATGCCTTAGTTGACAAACTTGAAAAATATGTTTATTGTGTACCTTATCTAGCATTTCCAATTTAATCATCATATTAAATCATTTCTGCAGATTAATTAATTGAATTGTGGCAGCCACGTGAACCTTATTTTCTATTTTACTGCTCCAAGTTCAAACTTTCAGTGGGTTCCCAAACAACATTATCCTAGTCCTGTTGATTCTTGCCGAACTGAGAGTAATTTATTTAAGTAGATTTCTAGGATAACTTTTGATGCCCACTCGCTCTAAGTTTAACATCTTTCTGTCCTATTATATTGCTTGAATTGGCAGTTCTCCATTTCACCTGAATGACTGTGATAGTGTTTACACATGGTTTAGGCTTTTTGTCATCTGTTTAATTTTTTCATTCCTGCCATTTGGCTTAAATCCTTAGTCAAAGTATGGCATTGTTTTTTATTGTTGATTGGCCCTATTTTCACTTCTATTTATGGACATATATTCATAGCAATTGAAGTTTAATCATTGGTATTAATAATAACAGATTGTGCACTTGCATATCATGTCTTGAAGAAATTAGATATACATTGTTAACTTATTGTGCGCTTGTTTATGTTCAGGTGCTTGAAGAAATTAGGCCCTACCTTGTTGGGGCAGCGGGTGGTTCTCTTGAATTAGTTGCCATTGAGGAGCCAATAGTGAAAGTTCGTATCACGGGTCCAGCAGCAGGGGTCATGACAGTTAGAGTGGCTGTTACCCAGAAATTACGAGAGAAAATTCCAGCCATAGCTGCTGTTCAACTTCTATAATTTGCATTCAAGTTCTCATTAACAATATTGTTCTCAAATAAAAACCTGTATGAATAGTGGAATCCTGGTGTATAGTTTCTGATATATATATATATATATATTTAGTTGGATGCCAGTGTTAAAATAATATTTTTCAGAATTCTGTTACAGGAATATAGAATGAAATGTTGAAAAACCATTTTTGTCTGAATATCGGACTCTCAATACCCAGTTTCTATTTTTAATGACACTACATATCACGACACCCCTTCTCAGAAAAGAAGAACAAGCAGAAAAACAGAAACAGATGACCAGGGACAAGATATTGAGCATTTGCCGATAAGCTACCAAGAAGGACAGAAGCACTTTAGTAAATTGCTTAAGACTGTTTTGCCTATTTCTAGCATTCTAGTGCATGGATGTCTTCCTTATTCTTCTTTGTTCTAATTACTGCAGTTGGCCCAGCAATATTGTCGACAGAGACCTATCGGAATTCAACTTTAGCAATACGGACTAACAGGCTTGACGCTAGCTAGTCCATATCCGGCTTGCAAGAGGTTTAGGCTCCCAATTCCTAACAATGTAAAGCATGTATCAAGAAGGTGGATGAACCCAAGTTTAAACTTGGGGAATCAGAAGACATTGTCTCAGTCCATTTATCCCTTGCTAAGATAAATATGTCATGATCAAAACGAGTGACAGGCACCAGGAAAAATCAACTTGAGACGTAAATTACAGCTTAAAATCTTTAATCTTCTAGAGAAAACGAGGATAAAGAAGTCATTGACCACTGACCAAGATGGGGACTGGGCCGCTTAGATTGGAAAAATGTCGCCTGCGCGAGGCATATTGGTCTGCATTCATACTGTCTAACAGGCTTTCAATGCTCTGAAAGCATCATCGATTGATAGGTTCCTACAGGCTATCGCACACTCAAAGAGAGAGACAGAGAGGGAGAGAGGTGAAACGGTGTTTGACTGATGTGTGGTTCTGTTGTTACCTTCTTTGTTCACATTCGCAACCCTTTTCAGTTTCTTTTTTCACATTTGCCCAAATATAGACTAGAGAAAATACAGTGGGCGCGGCGCACATGGCAGGGGCCCTACTTTTTGCTTGCGCTTTCTTCCCATTCTTTTTCCATGAGAAAGATGACTAGACTCACTCTCCTAAATTTTGTCTCTATCTCACCTAGGATTGTCGAGATGAATTTACATGGCCTCTGTCTCTGTTTCATAGCTCTCTGACCAGGGAGCACGCCGATAGAGCTTCAATATTGATCGTTTCTAATTTCTAACAGATTAAAAGACTTTCAGACTCTCAATTCACATCTCAATTGCTTGTTTCAATTGTTATCGTTTTTTGGAGCCACTCATTTGGTGTTGTACGTGTTTTCGTCAATCACATACGTAAGGTGCATGTACAGTTTGGCGAGGACCAAAATATAATATATATTACTCGGAGAATCTCCGTTGAGTAATAAAACATGCAGCTACTTTAATGAAGAATCATCTTTGTTGCCCAAAAAGGAAAAAGAAACAAAACTGTAGACCCTCGACTCACAAGTTTATATCTTACTATATTATATGATTTACATCAACAACGTAATAAAACAAAAAACAGACCCTAAAAGATTAAAAAGCATATAGTATATTAATGTTACTCCTGTAGTATTCTCCACAATCCAAATCTAGATTAAAAAGTAACGACAAATAAAATAAGGCGAGACTATACGAAATTGGACGGATCAACACAAGGACTTATTCACCGGAGTTCACTTTAGACTATGATCCTCGACCGTGGTAGGCTTGGAAAGCTCTATCGCTGCGTATGAAAGCTTATTCAGGATGACGATTTTGCTTAGAGCGTTGATTAGATTATAAGAAAAAATTAAAAAAAAAAGAATAAAACATGCTCTGCCACAACCCCCGGATGTTCAGGAGAAGAGTCAAATCTTTTTTTCATTTCAATTTTTGCTGTTTCTGCATCTGTACAGCCACGTACTAAGAGAGCGGAATGGCGCCCCCCAGCAGTGTCGCGCGTTCCATCGACAGATTGGTGTGGGTGACTCGCGAGGTCTTTTTGGGTCCACATGCGACATCGACCGATAGATTGAGTTGAATATTAAACAAATGAAAGAGAGCCTCAACTCTTATAAATTATGGCAGATCTATTTTTTTATTAATTAATACATATTTAGTTTTAATTCTTTTCTCTATTTTTCTATCATATTTGTTCACCTGAAATGTGGCAAGAAATGGGAGCATAGAAGAATTAATTAATTTTAATTAATACATATTCTTTCTATCATATTCAACGAAGTCTTGGCGTGGTACTCAATTGGTCCACAAAATAGGCAGTCAAGAAAATACTATTTTGATTGGATCCATTAATTGACCAAATTAACCATTTAAGAAGATAAAAGATTTAATCAATTATAAAAAAAGGAAAGAAAAAGAAAAAAGAACAGATGCAGATTTTAAACAAAAGAACCTGTAAGCCCGCCATAATGAGGGTGATTGGCAACATAACTACTTGAATTGTTGACAAATCAGATCACTTTTCTATTAAAATTATCTCCAAAGTAACTTATGGAGGAAGAAAGAATTATACACAAAGTCGAATAGAACATAACTAAGAGATTAAAATTAAATAAATTCAAAGAGTAGTTAATTTATTTTTAAAAAAAAAGAAACCGTTGAAATTCAATCATTCAACAAAGCTCTATTGGAAACTAATTAGTTGATACTTTTGCATAATTTTAATTTGACAAGATAAACGTAAGGGGGATATGAGAATATCAGAGGGAGAAACAAGCTGCACTTGATGCAACTGCTGCTAAGTCAGCAGAACAGGTATCAAGTGCAGCAATCGGTTCTGCTTGTGATCTTCCTCTGATAGAGAATAGGTGTGTGTTTCATGCTTTGAAGCATGGGTATGAAGGAAAAAAACCATCATATAGTGTTTTAATCATCTACAGCCAGCCAGCAACTAAGAACTTGGGTAGCTAGGTATCCCCATGAAAACAACAAGATCTGACTGCGACCAAGAAATAATTCCAAATCCTAATTAGTTCATCAATAAACAAAAACCTCACTGATTAGGATGAGACAACTAGATAATTAGCTCCATATCCTGTTGGAAAGGATTGAATTTTACCGGCCGACGAACTGGTCGTAGAGTTGGATCTGATTAACCCGCAGGAATCACATTTTCAGGACAAAGGGGGAAGGCAAAAAAGCAGGTCAACGAGGTGGACAACGACTTTGACTTGAGAAAGACTAAAAAACAAGGCTTAATATGTGAGGCTTTTTAATGAATCATCTCCATTGTCCAAAAAGGACATCTATCATCTTTAAAAATACCAAAAAAAAAAAAAGAGAGAGAGAGAAACTTAAAAGGATCAAAAACTGGAGACCCTATAACTCACACATTTATTATTATTACTATATTATATGATTCGAGAACATATAATAAAACCAAGAACAGAACCCAAAAGAATAAAAAGAATATACTACTCGTACGGTATTCTCCACAATCCAAATCTCCAAAAAACTGTCAAGATAGCAGGGTGAGAAACTCTACTTAAAACGTAGCGGGAAATAAAATAGAACGACTTATATATACAGCTAGCAGAGTTCAGTTTAGACTATGACCCTCAACAACGACAGGCTTGGAAGACCTCCTGCATTGCTGTTCTAGCTCTATTCGGTCTCATAACTTCCTACTATGGTTTTGAGTGAGCAAATACAGTGCTTCAAGTATCGGCACGGGGCTACGCCAAAGTCAAATCTAAATTCACTGCTCCATTATGTGGATTTGGTTGTCCCAGAACCAAGTCCAAGTTAAGCCTTTCAGTACTTTCGGAATATGCTTCTTCAGTAGCTTGACTGGTGCCAAAGGCGGCCAGTGAACCACCCCCATTGAGATCAAAGGGAGCCTTGGTGTCTCTCTCTTCTTTGGTTAGATTTGGTTGTGCCAGAACCAAGTCCAAGTTAAGCCTTCCCGTACTCTGGGACCCATTGAGATCAAATGGAGCCTTGATGAGTCGTGGTTCACCCATGCCAATACCCAGGGTAATGCCAAAGAACTTCATTTCTGTCTCATGTTCAGGCTTGAAGTGAGCCTTGCTCGCTTCATCACTTTCAACAGTCCCAAATATCAAGCCAAGTGGTTTGGCAATAACATGATCAACGAAAGGAACCGGCGCATTAGCTGCAGAATCAGCTAGCTCCATGGTAGCTTCCTCCTGTGTGACCGGTGCATCAGCCTTAGGCAGTTGCTCTTGATCTTGTTGAAAGTTTCTGATTTTTGTGCGGCTTGTGCCAGTGGTTTCATCTACCTCATGATTCAAAGAAAGAGCCCCAGCAGAAAGAGCCACGGATGGTGTGGCTGGCTTCTCCACTTCAACCGTATAGTGGAAAGAGCCCGCTTCATCTTGCACTTTGTACATGGTGAGTCTGTCACCAACATGGAAGTCATTGCAAATAACAAAATTTCTCCAACCCCTGGAGAAAACAGATTTCTTGTACCCAGTTTTGCGGACAGAGCAAACAATTGGCCACGTCCTTGTGCCGTACATAAGGGGAATTGTCACGGCATGGCTTCCATTGAAATGTGGTAAGGAAGGCAGGATTTTAGAGGGGATCGCCAATCTTTTTTGGATGTCGGCCTTAGTCAGTGACTTTGAGAACATCTTTGTTGCTTGAGGCATGGTGGCCGGTGGGTGAAGGCTGTCTGAAAATTTTAGTGTACTACTAGCTTAGGAAGAGACAGCGGTACTAAATCCTTTTGAAATGAGCTATATATATAGGCTACACAAACTGGATGTATCCAAGGTACTTACATTTAATGTTTCCTTTGTAAAGGAATTCATGCTAAATCCCATAAGAGATGGAAGAGTTTCGAGGGCTAAAATGGTAAAACCCTTGGTAAGAATTGAAATGAGGCAAGTTTCCACGTCAATAAAACCATTTTCTTCCTAGCAATACCGTCCAGGCGTCCATTGGTTTGTTTTTGGTTCAAAGTGTGAAAGTGCTAACCTTCAAAACAAAAATTGCCCCTTTCTTCCCAAGAAATTCCTTCACTTATCATATGAGGTCGTGAAATCGCTAGGAGTATGTGTGTAAATCTC